TGCGACTCTTACCAGAATATCAAAGTTTAAAACCTAAATTATCAATCTCCTTAGCATTTTCTCCAACCCACTTAGTTTTTTGAATACATAAGATATTAATTTTCCTATGAATCATAATATCAACTAATTCCATTAATTTACCATTGAGAGTGTCTATATTCCAAGATCCTATCCTAATATTATTAAGAATCATAATATTAACTTTAGACTGGCAACGACAGTGTTTAAATGGAGGGGTGTAACACGAGGAGTTCGCACGAGGTCACCCATCCTGTACTACTCTCTCCCAAGCACGCTTAACTGTGAAGTTCTGGTGAGATCCGGTGCACTGGAGTTCTCGGGACATGCTCACAAAAAATAAATTAGTAAGTGTCTATATTCCAAGATCCTATCCTAATATTATTAAGAATCATAATATTAACTTTAATATTAACTTTAGACTGGCAACGACAGTGTTTAAATGGAGGGGTGTAACACGAGGAGTTCGCACGAGGTCACCCATCCTGTACTACTCTCTCCCAAGCACGCTTAACTGTGAATTCTAGCGCCCAACTTTAATTGCTAGATTCTGCCAACAATGAAGAAATGGTTAGGAACGTCGTTGAAATTCCCAACCAATTATGATTGTGATTTTTCATAATAATTATTATTATTAGAAATTTCGAGGTACCCTTTAATGAAAAAATAATTACATAAATTTGTCACTTATATCACCGCTATGATATTACCATGATGTAATTGCTTGTATTAATTTGTTGCTTTTGTGGTCATCCTTGTTATGTTAATAATACACTTTTTAGTTATACATTAATGCACATGACATAAACTTTTTGTTACTCTAAGGCTCTGTTTGGGGCAACTGTTTTAGCTATTTGGAAAACTGTATTTTGACAGCTTTATCAAAAACATGACGCTGAAACTTATAAGTCACAAAAAATTATAAGTAGGGTTATCAAAAAAGCTCGTTGTTTCTTGTTCGGTTCGTCAATGAGTTCGTGTTCGATTCGTTCGATAAGTAAACGAGACGAACATGAACAATTTTTTTCATTTGGTTAGTTAAATGAACCAAACACGAACAGTGATGCGTTCGTTTGTGTTTTAAATCGTTATTGTTCAAAATATAAAAATATATGGTATTTAAAAGTTTAAATTTTTTAAATTATAATATATAATAAATTAATAATCATAATATATTAATATTATGGATGTCAAACTGGCGTTCGCGAACAGCTCGTGTTCGACTCGTGTTCGACTCGTTCGTTAAGAAACGAAAACGAACAGCGACTTCACGAACAATTTCAAACATGAACTTATTTCAAACAAACTAAATTTCAAATGAACCAAACACGAACACAAGCTCTGTTCGTTCGTGTTCGGCTCGTTTGCACCCCTATTTATAAGGTCGCCAATCTTTTCATAATTGCTGGTAAAAATCAATACAAGTGATTTAAGATATACATTTAACAACAACAACTCTCTTCACCACATGCATAAATAAAATACTCAAAAAATGTGAAATTCTCTTTTAAATACACACATTTACCCAACATTATAATGATATACACCAATCATGCAATAATGCTTTCCTATTTTATGTTAAAACAATCCACATTACTTATTATACACTAAAAATATGAATTTGCAGGACATTACATACGTATGTAATGCATACAAGGTTGTCTATAATTCATAAATAAAGAAACTTTCTTAGAACATCATTATATGCTTGTAAAGATTTTTGAACTTGAGTTTATAAAGCTAAGTTAATATATAATTAAAAAAAAAATAAATTGTCTGTCATTCTTCACATGAACAAGATGTAAAATACGAGAAAATTTATTAGTTTGAAGAGCTCTAAAGCCCTGAACAATGATTAATGATGACGATCTTCCTCAGAAGCTATCATTGTACGACTTTCATTGCGTGATCATAATTAGACAACCTTTATTTCTCGATTATCATTGCTCAATCGCTGTCACTCAATGACCATCTCCTAACAACTAGGGATGTAAACGAGCCAAACACTAGTCTCGTTTATATTTCGAGCTCAAAATGTGTGTTCGAGTTTTGCTTTTTTGCTGCCTCGTTTGCTTGGCGAGCCGAACACGAGCCTTTCACGAACAAAGAATAGTTTTGACAACCCTAATCATGTAGTCATAAGGTGTTAATGATTGGAACAAAATTTAAAAATTATTATTTATATTAAAACATGATTTGAATCTAATTTAATAATTTTTATTTTATTTTCTTAATTAATACTTTTAATTGATTATAAATATTTGTAGGCTTTCATTAAGGATTGGGGTAAGATTTAAAACATCATTTGAATCTAATATAATAATTTTTATTCTATTTTCTTCATTAATACTTTTAATTGATTATAAATCTTTGTAGCCTTGTAGTCAATTAAATTTTTAAAAAATACTACTCATCAAAGATATATCTATAATTGATTGGTAGTATTTCGAGCCAAAACGAGTTGAACACGAACAACACCAGCTCGTTAACTTAGTGAACAAATCGAACACGAGCTTCTTAACGAGACGAACATGAGTCGTATTGACAGCCCTACTAACCATCATTGCCCATTAATAACATCAATATCTACCAATTGAGGTTTATCTCTTAATTACCACTATCCATAATTTCTTCAAAAATATTTCACCACATTTACAACAGATTAAGTTAATAAGTCATACTTTATAATCATATGTTCTTCACATAGCAGGAAGAAATAAATTTTATAATCTTTTATGATTACTCATTTCAACTGAATCCAGGCCTAATTTTTTTTATCTCTCTCTCTCTCTCTCTCTCTCTCTTCTCTCTATCTATATATCTTAATTATCTATGAGATCTTAATTAAATGGACTATTAATTAAGCAAACGTTTTAAAGAGCTAAATAATAATTAATTAACAAAAGTAATATAATATGGAAAAGATCAAGGCTCCCACGTAATTACATATTAAATAAATTCATAATTAAATCTGAAATTTTGGATTAAGGATCCAACTTTCGAGCGTATACTTTTCTTTTTAAGAAAATTAATTGGTGGATATATTTTTGGCAATTATGATTATTATTATTTAGATAAAATAATTTTTTATAAGCATTTAACTTAGGGCCTATTTGGGGCAGCTTATAAGTGCACGGGCGTTTTCGAAAACACTGCGGTACTGTTTGGATCGCATTTTTTGCACGCTTATCCAAAAACACGATTTTATTTTTACATTAAATGCAGGCCGCGGTCTAACCCGACGGTCGACTAGCGGGCCACGTTTCAGGATAAACTATATCCTGAAAAGTACAAGCTGCCCCAAATACATCCTTAATTTGAGATTTTTAAAATATAAAAAAAAATAAATAAGATATGTCATACAAGGACCAATTTGACGCCTTTTAAAATATAAAAAAAAATAAATAAGATATGTCAGGCATACAAGGACCAATTTGACGCGAGAAAACAGACCTAATAATTTTTTCATTGAAGAAGTCGCTCCGCTTCTCTCCGCACGTGTCTCCGCACGCGCCATCTGTAGAGGTTTCGGGGTTCCCCGACCGTAATTATTTCCATATCCAAGTCGCATCGTCCCCGCGCGGCTAAGAACAGGAGGGCGATGAGTGACAGCGCCGACGGCGGCGGCGGAGCCGACCGCGCTCAGAACTCCGATCACCTACGTCTTCAATACGAAGCATCGCGGGTTTCAGATGTCGCTCGCGAGCTCCAGGATTCGGCTTCGGAACTCATATCCCGCACCTGGAACGAGGAGCAATCCCTCCGCCAGCGCGCCCTTGCCCTTGAATCCGACCTCCGTCGACTCCAATCCTCTCTCTGCACCGCCTCCAAATCGCCCTTCTTCGACCACAAATTAACGGAGAAGGTTGCTTCTCTTCGCCAACTCTCGCCCTTTTCTGTTCATCTTGCATTGGGATCTCAATCGTAACCTATTGGATTCGCTGCAGGTGGTAGAGGAGATCTACAAGGCGAAATGCCTGCTTAGCGATGGAGATGCGGCGTTCCTTCTTCCTAGCAAGGATCACGGTTGGTGGATATGCTTTTTTGTTATTGGAATTGGATTTCGTTTCTGGCAGTTTGAATTCGCTATTTTTGTTATTAGGTCGTTTCTTGAACTTATTCCTTGGGCCTATAAACGTTCGCGCGAGGCGGAAAGAGGTGCGGCTGAAGGTCAAAGAGGAGTACAACAGCTACAGGGTAAGAATTATTGATCAATCTTTTATCTATATTGTGAAGGATGAATCGTTAGAAAAGACGGTGATTTTCTGATGGTCAAGCGAGCAATCTCTCAGACGGATTCTGTTCAATAGGCCTGCCTTGTTTGTGTGGTAGCATTGCTCACGCTTGAAATATACCCAAATCCATGCCGAAGTGAAGCTTTTCTCTTATCTTCGTTCTCAAATTCCACTTGGAATATCGTGCCCTTATGTTGCTAGGGAGAGATTAACGAAAGTCATTCATTTTAAGTCTTATCACTTTTCCTTTGAAATTCTCAACTAAATTGGCAGCAGATGAAACATTTGGTTTCTTTTTTGTAGTAGCTATAACTATTTGGGAAATTACATGCATACCATTCAAGTCTTATGTATTTACATATCTAACACCTAGAGTTTGATATTTACATTTGTCATTAACTTATGCAAGAAAAGGTGTATTTCACTTTTAAGAAAATGACAAAGTGCTATTTTTGATGTGATGTTAAAGATTTGAGTGATATATATGTAAGTTTGAATGTTGGTTTTAAGTGTTAGATATGTAAAGACATAAGAATTATGTGGCATGTATGTAAATGTTCCAACTATTTTTTGGGCAATTTAATCATCACTGGTTTAAAAACCTCCTGTATAATGTGCTTTGATATTATGTGAACACCAATTTGGCTGTAGTATTGCTTGAATTTGACCGTATAGTTGTCCATTTGCTTGTTTGAGGCTTAGATATCCATCCTAGAGGTTGTAGGTTCGACTAAAGTCACTCGTGTGTGTGCGAGTCTTGTGCTTCGACACTAAAGCACTTAAAAAAAGGGGCATTTACATACATACCACCTAATTCCTAGTTATTTACATCTAACACCTAAACTATACTTTTTACATTAATACCACCCAAATATTTCATATCACATAAAAAATACCATCATTTTGAATTTTAAAAAGTGAAATACAGCTTTTTGTATATAGAAAAGGTAGCATGTATATAAAAATTGAACTTCGGTGTTAGATATATAAATACATGGGAATTGAGTAGTCTATTTGTAAATCTTCCAAAAAAAATGTCATTGTATTGTGCAAATAGTATCCTGATTGTTGCACAATCTTCATTTGTAACAGTTGGTTTGAATTGTTGAATTTTCTGATTTGGCAGGATAGAACGGCATTTCTGTTCCTTCTATTTCCGTCCCTGTTGATTTTCTTAAGGTCTTGGATGTGGGATGGATGCTTTCCAGCATTGCCTGTTCAGCTATATCAGGTATAAATTTGCTATAATTGTTATTTCAAAATGTAGGCAATAACTTGTCTTGTTTTATTGAATTGTTTTTTTTTTAAATTTTATTATGTTCCGCCCAATTTTTCTTCAGGCTTGGCTCTTATTTCTCTACACCAGTTTAGCTTTGCGGGAAAATATATTGAGAGTTAATGGAAGCGACATTCGTCCCTGGTAATGTTGCTGTCCTTATTATACTGTCATTAAACTTTGTTTGGAATTCGGTGATCGGAATTCTGCTTGTTAACTTGGGTCATTATCAACTTGCATAAAATTATGCCTTTCAAAAAATAGTTTTGCAAAGCTTTCTTTTCTCTAAGAGGCTGTTTGGTAATAAATTGAAGTCAATTTAACTTAAATATCACCAGATAGAAAAATGTCAACTTTTAAATCTTGAATTTAGTAAATCCAATTTCTTTTCAATTTCTTTTTAGTTTTGCCTTAAATTCCAGATTTACTAGAGCCTAATGTTGCGGGATTCAGTAAATTCGGATTTCTAGGATTTACCAAAGCTGTTAAAGCCGTTGTTATACAGCTCCTATGTGTAGATATTTCTCTTTCATGTTTGGCTATATTTGTTTGTATTTGCTCAATGGATCATTATGTATACATACTTTATGAAGACATTTGATTCTAGATATTAAGGGGATCTGTGGGATCACTTTGGATTTTTATTTTATTTTATTTTGTTTATGTTTTAATTAAAAGCAAAATATATTTGATATGGTATAACTTGTTCAGTTGTTTTTAAAAGCACTCAAAATAACTATAAGATGTTTTGGTTATTTTTAAAAACAAATTTATATATTTTTAATAACAAAAAAAAAAACTGAACAAACATGTTTTTAAAATAAAAGTAAAATAAAAAAAAAATGTGATCTCAAACAAGCCCCAAGCTTATTTATGCCTAGCATTTTTTTCCTCCTCGACAGGCATTACACCCTTTCCTAGAAAAACCTGCAGACTTAATTGCTAAAGATTGTGTGAAGATTATTCTACATTTCAAGTTAAAATTATAAGCTTTAAAGGCTTTTTGATAATATTTAGTCGAAGTAATTTGTTGGTGGATACTTTAGATGGAGGAAGAGGTAGAATTTGTGTCTTTAGCAGTCATATTTATGAGCCCTTACTTTTGGATACTTCGGCCCAAACAATTTCTTTCTTTGTAATTTGATAATTAGGAACTTCTGACATATTTTATTAATAAGATCAAGAGCGTTTGCCATTCTTCCTTTATATGATTTACATGGTGTGGGGACATTATATTTCTTAGCTGGCATGAGCAAATTGAACACCATTTTTTATTAGGGGTATATATATATATATATATATATATATATATATATCATGTATCACATTTTTTTGTGTTTTTTTTTAGGACAACTGTTGTATCCCGGTTTTTCCTTTCTAGGATTATATCCAGAGGTGGGTGGTGCTTTGGCTATAGCTTGTCCGAGGTGGTGACCTTCTTCCAATAGTTGAGTGGTGATGCGACTGTAGCTCGTTCCTGAGGGAGTATTCTCCTCAAATTTTTCTTCCTCGTATCCCTCGCTTTGATTCCATGTCTCTTTCCTCGCTGTAGTCGCCCAGTGCAGCCGCCGTTGCTATTCTTTCTTGCAGTTCCCCTCTTTCCAGCCACCTCCCTCCCACAGTCCTTGCTGTCCTCCTTTCGAATCAACAACCAGTCCTCCCTTTTTCTGTTTTCGGCAGCCCATACAGCCTTCCAACAGCATCAGATCAGCTGTCCTTGCTGTTTTATTGTAGTTTTTCCCTTCACAGCCATTGTCCCGGCCTCTCGCTTTGCTGTCCCAACCCTCCACCTTCCTTGCTGCCACATGCAACCCCTTTTCTTTGCTGCTTTTTTTGCTGTTTTATCCTCCCACAAGCCCTACCACACCCCATCCACCTTATAGAAACCTTACATGTTGAACCCACCACCATCGAACACCCCAACCTTCCCATTCTAGTTCACAGCCATTGTCCCGGCCTCTCGCTTTGCTGTCCCAACCCTCCACCTTCCTTGCTGCCACATGCAACCCCTTTTCTTTGCTGCTTTTTTTGCTGTTTTATCCTCCCACAAGCCCTACCACACCCCATCCACCTTATAGAAACCTTACATGTTGAACCCACCACCATCGAACACCCCAACCTTCCCATTCTAGTCCACCTAGCCGACCTCCTCTACTCTTGGGATACTTGTGTTTGTTTGTGTATGTTGTTGTTTTTAACATTTTAAGTGTGTCTGTTGTAACAACCAATTTGTTTTCAGTTATAATATTTGTTTTTCCTATATTAGTTCGGGTTAACTCTGGTAGCATTTGCTATCAGAGCTAGCTTAACCCTAATCCTATTCTAGTTTTTCTAGCATCCCCCATATCACCCCCCCCCAAAATTTTCTTCTCTCTACCCACCTCGCCGCTTTCCACCTAGCTACACCCAAAGCCCTAATCGCGTTCTAGGAAGACGATTGTCAAAATCTGCACAGGAATTTACCATGGACAACATACAACAACCACTTCGCTAACTGCTACATTGACTCGATGCCATTGACGAAAGAATCCAGGACGGGACCACCGTCGACCGACGGGACCACTGTCGACCGTAATAGTGAAATCTCTACCCACCTCGCCGCTTTCCACCTAGCTACACCCAAAGCCCTAATCGCGTTCTAGGAAGACGATTGTCAAAATCTGCACAGGAATTTACCATGGACAACATACAACAACCACTTCGCTAACTGCTACATTGACTCGATGCCATTGAGGAAAGAATCCAGGACGGGACCACCGTCGACCGTAATAGTGAAATTTGTGAAGGAGAGCAAGAAAATCACTTGAATCCCTTTCATATGGATGATTCTTCTAGAGGAGAAGAAAGGTCACAATGCTTAGGGATACAATAGCAGTGGAGGCCTAGAGTTGAAGTGTCTATTGGAAGATTCAGCGATGAGATGCTTGTTATAGGGGATACGAAGGTGGATTGGATGTTAGAAGATACGGAGATGACGTGCATATTGGTGGATACAAAGATCTCAGAATTAAGGTGGACCTACCAAACTTGAAGGGGACAATGGATTCAGATGATTTCCTCGAGTGGATGAAGACTGTTGAGCGGATTTTTGTATACAAGGAGGTGCTCAATGACAAAAGAATGAAGCTCGTCGCCATCAAACTAAAGAAGAATGTTTTTTTGTGGTGGGAGAACTTTTAAGGGAAAGTTAGACAGAAGGACGTGACAAAATCATTTCTTAGGAGAAAAAGAAGAAGGAGATGCAACGACAATACCTACCCCCACACTATTGCTAAGATATTTTCCTGAAGCTTCACTATCTTCAACAGGGGGGTTATCAGTGTACACACAGAAGTTATGCAACTTAAGTTAAAGCGAGTTGAATGAGTCATAATGTGGTTCAACTGTACCCTATTGGATATTGAGGGACATGCTGACTATAGCCTTCAAAGTGGAGAGACACATAAGCAAAAAATGCAATCACCACTAGTCAGACAACCACCCACAGTTGGAGTCCTCTAGAGGAGCACGTCTCAAAGAGTGGAGCAGGCTGGTCAGGAGCAGAACAAAGCCATTCAAAGTAAGAAGAAACATTAGAAGAGCAACACACCTACTATAGTTCCAGCCAAGAAATGCCTCATATGTCATGGTTTTGGATACATCATTTCTAGTTGTCTCATGAGTTGAGCTGTGCCCTTGAATGAACAAAGTGTCGTGGATGAAGTGAGCGAAGAGGAGACCGCTGAAGAAAATGATGATGAGTATCATCTTCCACCAGGTAAGGGCGAGATGCTTGTAGTTCGACTGGTCTTATAGATTGAGGCTTTGAGGGATCGACAGTGGCTTCGCCACAGTTTTTTCTACACCCATTGCACTGTGAAGGGAAAGATATGTGGTCTTATCATCGATGGAGGAAGTAGCAATAATGTGGCATATGCGTATATGGTGGACAAATTGAGCCTCACGATCCATATACATTCCCATCCAAATTGCTTGACATGGTTAAAAAACAAGACAGGGTCATGAGGTGGGTCGTGAAATTGTCGATTGGGAACCAGCTGTATGTTTGTCACTTTTTATTGGGGAGATCATGATAGTTTGACCGCAAGACTCGACATGATGCGTTCAGAAACACATACTTCTTCACTAAGGATAGATAGCACATAGTCTTTATATCATCTGCGGAGTTTGAGATTACAGGTGCCCTTAACAATAGAGAAGCACCAGTTTGATCAATTTTGGTGATGACAAAGAAGAGCGAGCCAAGAGAGCCGGTTTCAGAGATAGGCCAGTTAGTATGGAGAGAGTTTTAGGAAGTCCTGCTCTATAGTTTACCACCATGGCTGCCACCGTTTGGAGAGATTCAGGCTGCTCTCACTTTAGATCCGGTTGAGCCATCCTAGGTTACTTTGGGAGGTTTCAGCAGAATATACGACCCGAGGTCTCAATTCAATTCCATAGTGTACCCCCAAAAGGTTGAATCTATAAGGATGACTTCTCGCATGTGAGGAAAACTCTTGTGTTTAGGGAGAATGTAGTTGACAACGGGATCCAGATGATTTTAGGGCCACAGTTAAAGATTTTTCAGCCTCGAGAGGTTACAACATCGTCATCACTTTCAATGTGCAGACATAAGTTTCAATGAATGAGGTCGAAGCTCCCCCAGCCTCGAGAAACTGACGCATGCGTCACCCGCTTCAGAGCGGGATGCGGGCCTCTCGCATAAGCCTACACAGCGCCTGCTCTCTTGGACAGTTTTGGTCTAGGATTTCTGATGCTGTGGAGTGTCAACTTGCCCTCGGGCCCACTCATATTTATTCTATTATTATATATTTTTTGTTTCTACTTTTCTTGTTTCTGTTCAGGACAACCATCAGTGTCCCAGTATCTTCCTTGTAGGGTTGTATCCCATGACGAGTGGTGCTCCGATTGTAGATCGTCTGAGGTGCAGCTACGGCTGTAACTCGTTTATGAGGAAGTATCTATCTTCAACCTTTCCTTTTCACACCCCTCGTGTGAAGCCCCGTTTCAGTTAACTAGGGAAGAGGAAACGAGAAAATCAAAGGAGAAGAACTGAGTCGGACAGTCAATTGATGGAGAGCAATCGAACGGTTGAGAAGCCAAATAGGCGAAGGTGAAGCGAGAGGTTCGGGAAGTCGAAGAGA